GCCCTCAAAGCACGCGAGAGGGAACATAGCCTTGAACAGACATGAGGTGATAGAGGCAGGAGAGAGGGCCAGAGCCTCTCCAGGTAAAGCCGAAAGTTACCTTGAAGAAAGTCAGCACAGGCTCTCCTTTGAAGGGTCAGATTTGTGCACGAGATGTCTAATGCAGATGAGGGAGAAAGGGATGGGGAACAATTCCATCAACCGGAAGAACTGGTGCAAAGTTTGCCAGTGATGCCAGTAACAGCTAGAAGTGCTAGGTATTAAAATCTGTTTGTGTCTGTGGTTGGGCCTCTTTTGCTTTCTCATTTTTTCCACACACATCTCCTCTCAGCATTTTGGATGGGAATATATCATCAACTGGATTTCTGTGATCATTTGAGACAAAGGTGCGTTCCTGAAGACATTTATCGAGTGTAATTAATCACTCATAATAATTTTAGTACAACTGATAAGCAGTGTTTTTCTCATTTTATTTTAATTTTATTTCACTATGCTCTGCACTTCCCACCTGGCAAAGCAAATGATATGGAAAATTAAGTCTAGGTTTTTTTCTCTCAGTTATTGTACATGCTAGCTAGTGTTCAACAAAAGATTATTAATACATTTTCATGACTTCTAATTAGTATTTAGCTAATCATCATCTGCAAAGCAGACTTATTTTACTTAGTTTATTTTAAATTAAGGCTACTGGGGATTAGCATCTACAAGGTCACTTGACAAAACGCCAACCTTGCCTGTCAGACAAAGGTTACTCTAACGACCTTACATATTCCCAACGCTGTGCACTGCCTACATGGGTACCTCTTCAACAGGATCACGGAGCAGACTTTAGCTAATGACAGATTAATGCCAATTTAGTCAGCATAATGCCTCCTGTCGCTAAAGCTTTTCCATTGCAGCAGAGCTTGTAAAGTCCCCAAGAATCCCATGTATGTGTACTAGCTTTGCATACAGCAGCTTTGACAGAAGGATACAATTTTGCAGCAGCAAATTTCAGAACTCCTGCATCTAGGCGAAAAGATAAACATTCAACATTTCTCTCAAGAGCTGATCTTTTTTTTGTTTTAATTTTTATATATATATAAATATACCATAAAGCGTACCATTTCCTCATTTCAGTACAGATTTTTCAAAATTTACTAAAATAAATGAAATATAAATGCTACAATTTTATGTTTAAACCAAGTTTTGATGACAGCCTTCCCCTAAGGGCAGGCCCAGAAACTCTGTTATCTACGTGGAGAGAGACAAAAACACCCCCAAATATTTCATGCTATGCACGAGCATTCAGAACAGCAGATGTGCCTCAGCTGGAGCTGCTTGCAGGTGTCCGTGAGTTCCTCACGTGAATGCCCACTCTCCTTAGTAGAAACGGCTTCATTACTAACCTGAAAATTTCACATTCAACTTGTATCTCCCTTAAATTCGTTGTCAAGACCCAGTTTTCCATATCTGTGTCTGCCTTTGCTGATCCCAAATGGCAAGAGGTATCATCAGTTGTGGATTTGGGGATCAGGATTGCAAATTGCTGAATTTTCAGATAAAAAATGTCAACCTTTGTTTTTTCCTTCTCCTTCACAACTCGGAAAATGTTCACAGCTTTGAAACAATGAGGCGTAGGAGCAGGGGTGCGGACGATACACCCCGCACGTGTTTTGCACTTTTATACTTCTTCCTGATCCCATCTTTGACCTTAACTGGTGCCTCCTGGACAGGAGAGGAGGTTCCAGGTGAATCCCACCCCACCCATCACAAGCCCTTTGGTTCAACCTCTATTACACTTTCAGGTCCTGTGGGTGAATGCTCAGCTACTAAAGCAGCAATCTGCAATCTGTCAGTGTGTCTTGCTGCCAAGGGTTTTGTTGTTGGTTTCCTCCTTCTCAACACCTACTTTCCAAAACAGACAGGTTAAAACAAAAAAACAAAATGAAGTCTTTAAAATAATGATAACACCACAATATCTGTTTAAAACAGTACTGCCCGTGCTCTGGACAAATTGTTAAGAGCAATTCAGCATTCTTATAATTAATCCACAACAAAAGAAGCTACAAGGTGCCACAAATGAAGGCATAATTGGCCATACAGAGGCAACACTACCATGAATGTTGTTTGGCAAGGAAAAAAAAAAAAAAGCCGATACATAATTCATCCAAAGAACGGGTTCAGAACTGCCCGGCACTGCTAGGATCACACTGCAGGAGACGGACTATGGATGGGTCGCTCTTGGCGCCTCGGATGAACTCTTCCAGAGAGAGCTTTCCTGGAAAAGAAACACATTTGCTTAGCACATGTGGTGGGTCACAGCACACCTGCCAAGCCTCTGGACAAGCATGGTGGAAGGAAGCTCGGGGAGCACAAGGAAAATCCCTGGGAAAGCAACCCTGCAAGGCAAAGCCCTGCCTGCCTGCACCCCGCTGGCTGTGGATGCTGGTGGCTTTGCCTGGACAGCCAAAGGAGGAGTGGTGGGTTTGAGGGGTCACCCCGTGTGGGCAAAACACCTCAGCCACCCAGGACAGGGACAGAGGCAGCTGCCACGGTGTCTGTAGGGTGCCTACCATCACGGTTGGTGTCCATCTGGCGGAAGATCTTCTCTGTCCTCTTCTCTGGTGTCGACTCGTCTTCCGGCATCTTCATTACAGAAGAAACCATCTTATAGATTGCCTGTGCGGTATGACAGGAGCAAAGAGCTGGTAAGGAACACATTATCTTAATGCAGAGGTATGATTATTTCCTGGTGACAGAAATAGGCAGAAAATATCCTGAGAACTTTGACTGGGACCTACTCGAGATGCTGAAGGGAGTCGGCTGGCACCAGTACATGCAGCTGCGCTCTTCAGTGCGACCCTCATTTATGAAATACTGTGTTTCCTTATTTAGTCACAGCCGAACACAAACTGGGTTTGGACCGAGGTTACATTTTTCTGTATTAAAACAATCTTCAGATGAATTTATCTCTTGTACAGCACGTTAGGCACTGGCAGCTCCCAGTCCCTGGGAGAATGGTAAGACCTCTGAGGTCTTGTCCCATGTTGTGGTGTGTCTCCATACGTTGGCCAGCCAGGCTCCGTCCTCACCAGCCCCCTTCCCTCACCCTGCCTTTCATTCCCGCCCACCTCCTTTCTCTCCTGCCGTGGTCAGCATCCTGCCTGCGAGGAGGGCACCAACTCACTCCCTGGGTTTGCCACGTCTCACAGATCATGAAGACCTGACCAGCAAGGAGGTGGCTTTTCCCTTGGGGGTTGGTGTGCGTACACAGCTCAAAACCCCATTTACAATTCTTTCCACAGAGAGCAGATGTTCTGGTCCAGCACGGCACTGGTGCCACCCATAGCTATTCTCTGCGCAGACAAATCCATTAGTCACGTATGGTGCTAGCTGCCCCTTAAAGAGATGTAATGTTAATTTTAAAAAGATGATGAGTGGTTGTTTCTGAACTGGTTATCCAAACGTTGCCTGCGAATGAGAGCATGCAGTATCAGTAAACAAGTGTTTTTTGTGTTAGATATCTTTATGGTGCCACACAGCTGGGAGAACAGCAGCAGCCAGGAGGCTGCCGGGTGGTGGCCTCGGGGGACCCTCCCGGCCATTTGGAGAGGCAGCACATCGCAGCGCAAGGAAGCATTGCCCTGGTCTGACCAGCTCCTTCTGTGTCCCATGGCAATTTGTTGGCCTCTGGCTGGTGGGTGCTGGGATGCACTGGGCTGTACTGGGCAGTCACTTTGCCCTGCAGCCTTGGTCTGCAGGTGTGGATTGCTTTCTTCCACAGATTCACATTCTTGTTTTCCCCCCAAAACGGTGCCTGCAGCAGTCAATTGATAACTTAGTGCAGATGTGATTGCTTTAGCTGCTTGTTCTCCACCTACTCGTGCTTTGGGAGAGTGGGTCCTTGGCGCAAGCCAAAGGTCGCTCACTGGATCTCCCCTCTCGTCTTTTCCCATTCATGCAAGCACTCTGCCCAGCATGCTCCCATCATCTGGCCAAGGGTCCCCAAGGGACAGCTCCAGCAGTGTGTCAGCACAGGTTCACCAGCTGGAGGATGCCGCTAAGTGGCACAGACATTTTACACTCAGACGAGGGAGCACCAGCTTCCTCAGCCATCTTGCTGACTTCTCCTTTGTCAGCAGCTCACCTTTCACGTCTTCTGGACTTTGAATAACTTAAAGACTTACACCCTGAGAAAGGCATTTGCCTGTTTAATTAATTATCCATCTCGTGTGCTCTGTGCAGTCAAACATCTGCTCCCTCAGTTATGTCACCAACACTGTGGCTGCGGATTTCCTGGTCTGCCCTCCGGTAAGTCTGTAATGCTGGCTATGGGCCTGAGCAGGGAAGCAGAGCCGAACATTTCAGCTTGAACAGCTGCTGGCTGAATGGAAAAGTGGTGGGCACCCTTTTAATCATCATCACCATTGCCGTGATTGCACTGTGGGAAAGCCTGAAGGCTCCCAAGGGAATTTGGGTGCCCGAGTATCAGGCAGAGCCTCAGTACAGGCAGGGATGCTGTCCACACAACCGTGATCATCTGATAGCTGGGAGAACAGCAGAAGGGATGAAAACGCAAGCACATGAACATAGGGGTGAGGGAGCTGGGTGAAGGAGGCAATAGGGGAAGAAAAAAAAGAGGAGAGGGTGACCAGTAGGAATTTACACCTTCCTCATCCTCATCAGCATGCAAGACTTGCAGGGGTCAGAGCAGAGATGAGGCTTATAAATCTGCCAATGTTTAAGCATCTTAAGCTGTCTGGCTTTTGTCTGGGGTAGGAAGAGAGGTGGAGGGGTCATTCCCTCACTCTGGGTGAGAGGACGGCAAAGCAGAGAATCTGTATTGACAGTGTGGGAGGAATGCCCCGGACCGGGAGTGCAGGCGTGTTTACTCTGATCAAAGTAACCATAGTAAGAACATGCAGATTTTTAGAACAAAAAAAAAAGCACTTCAAGATGACTTCATCCTACAGAGTCCTTTTCACAGAGGCGTGTGAAGGGAATAACAGATGAGATATTCTAGGAAAGCCAGATGGGAATAACATAGTAAGCGTTCCTTTCATGCTGAAAATGGTTATTCTGGACAAATTCTTATGCCCTTACTCAGAAGTTCAGCGGGAAGTTTCCCAAAGCAAAAGCCAGCTAAAGCCGATTAAGAATCTTGAGACTTGCCCCATATTAATTCAGCGCAGCTACACCGAGCTCATTATAGCGTGTTTGAAAGAGCAAGCTTTCAAAGGAAGCTGGTTTCAAGCGATAATTACATGGAGCTGGGCTGTACTAACCGTGGGCTGTAACCTGGGACTGCAAGGCTTCAGGGGCTCCTCTCCACATGGAGAATGACTCCTCAACCTCACAGCACTTGGGCTGAAAGCCATTAGTGGCACTCAGCAGGAGAAGGTTTGGGGGTGGTGATCTACCATCAGCTGCCTGAGTCAAGGCAGCCTTCGCAGGTGGCCTTCAGCTCCTCACAGCTCCCCGGTACCCCTGAATGTCCTCAAGAAATTGTGCCTCCAGAGCCCTTTGTGCATCACTGGCAAGAGCACAGGCTCCAGCTTCATCTGAACTGGCTAGTTCCCTGCAGAGCTCTCCCCTTTGGTTTTCCACTTGCCTGTGGATGAGCGGCGATGGGTGATTTATGGCAAATCTCACCCCTTCGCCCATTCACACAGGTTTTCCTCCCAGCTGCTGGCTGCCAGCCCTGCACTTGGGCCAGAAACTTTAGTGGGGGCTGCACTTTCCTGCTACGCTTGGCAAAGTGTCAAAGAGCTGCTTACAGTGATGGCAGCAATGACAGCACAAATTTTGAGGCAATTCTTTTTACTTTGTTGAAATGAATTTTGACAGCTGAAAATCTCATGAAGTGAATAACCAGCCTGAAAAAATTGCTTTCTTTTCAATCCCATGGGGATTTTTGACACCGTCTTTACTGAGAGCTATATCAGCTTCTGCTTCTTCCCATATCAGCTTCTGTTTCTTCCTGGCTTACAAATAAGAGAGCCCAGCAAGCGAAACACAAGTGCTCTATTTGTATTGAACTGGAGGTGTTACGCTCATCTCTCAGCTCAGCAGTCTTAAGATACCTTATGACTGCATGTGGTTAAAAAAATGTCCCCTTAGAATGAGGTTTCCATTGCTTATTTGAACTCTTATTTTAAGAGACTCTCGCCAAATACATCCCTTTTCAGCAAGGGAAACAAACACAAATCTTCTAGCTGGTTCACAGCTAATTTTGAGTAGACTGGGCTATTTAGATTATAGGTGAACATATGGGAGAAGTGAAAAGCATTTCTAGAGCAGGAGAACCTGCGAGGATCTGTGGCAAGGTCTGTCAAGAGGGCAGGCTATGAATCATCTTCCCACAGTACTCTGGAGAAGTGTTATGCCTAGTAAGTGTAGTAGTCTCCTGTGGACCGTCTTTCGTTAGGCCCTACAATTGTCAGCCCACCACTAAAGTCCTTGAAGTTACGTGATCCTCCAAACCGTGCAGCCAGCTCCATGTAGATGGTTCATGTTTGTCTGAGCTGCGCTTTTTGAAGACTTGTCTAGGGGAAGCTCACGGGCAGGCATGATGAGCTATGTGTACAAGGTTAACAGCACTATGGTAAACGGAGCTGAAAGAAATGCAGGTGCTTTGCCCTCTAGCCCATCTCTTTGCAGAGAAAATGGCCTTCAAAAACCTGTTATGGACCATTCACATTAATCTCCTTGGCCGCTGGCCAATTACTAGGGCTCCTGTGTGACATGAGCGGTCTTAACCAGTAGCTCTCCTGTTTCAGTGCTGCTGCTGCTGCTACCGCTGTGACCACAAGCACCTTCTTGCAATGTTGAGTAAGATGCAATGTGTGCATTGGCTGCAGCGGTGTTACATTAGGCCAGAGCATGAGAAAGGAAATGCGAGTAACCATCAGTGTAACAGTGAAAATAACTGTGGTGAGAGGACTTTCACAGCACAAAGAAAAGCAGACTGAAAAAGAAGAAAAGCATGCCTTGCCCATATATTATTTAAGATATAATAAGCCCACAGTAATAGGGGCAGTATTTTTCTGTGAAACTAAGACTTTCAGGTTGATGGCATTCCTTCTAGCATTCATTCTGATGTATTGTCTCATGCAAAAATCCCAGTGAAAACATAATAAATCTTGTTGTATCAATATGCAAATGTATGCTAGATAAGGGACTTGTAGTAGGTTGCTCTGAGACATGTATCAGAGATATAACAGAGTTCTGTTTTTCACTGTCAGAAATATTGTGGTGGCTGAGGGCCCCTAGGAAGACATTTGATACAGAATCCTGTCTTTGTGTATTAAAAAATAATCATCTTTTGTGAATGAAAGTGATAGTTGTTAGCTGTTTTTTTATCAATCTAATCACCCTACATCAAAGAAACCTCTCAATAAAGCAAGAAAATATGTTCATCTGCTTCAGTCTGACATATCAGCTGAACACATTTCCAGAGCCCACGCAACAAACTCTGCCCCACCAGAAGGAGCTACAGGTGACCACTGCAACACAGGGAGATCACTGTGACCATAAAGAACTGGAAGAAGAGAACAGGGTGAGATCTACCAGCACATTGCCTCATGGGAAGCTCCACCACCACAGAGAGGGCAGCTTTCTTGACTGTAAAACCATTCCACAGTGGAGAAATGACTGTTGCTTAGGATTATTAGGCTGTTTACTTCCATAATCAATTTTTGTGTGGTGCCTCAAAATGTGGGGTGAGGGTAAATGAGAGAAAGCATCACTCAGTTGAGTTTCAGGGTGACTCTGAAAGGAGGAGAGAGCCAAAGCTCCCAGGAATTGCAGTGGGAGGCCTGGAGTGCCGGGCTGAGGGCTGTATGCAGCCAAAGTGCTGCTCTGGGTTGGATGTACAAACTAACGAAATGTCGCCCTACAATGATCCCTCAGCTGCAGTTTCATTTGATGGTAGCATCATGGTTGTAAAGGAAAATGCTACAATTTGGTACCAACATGACTATGCAGAGGAGGAAGAGAATTTCAGCCTCTAATCATGTTGGTGAGCAGATCTGGGGTAACTGGAAAAAGCTGCTAGCTTTATTGGTCCTCGCTTGGTTTGCTAATGCAGAATCCAGCAACCAATGTTTTAGCTACATTTGATATGAACACATTTGTGGCATTGTTCTTCATGTTTGTAAATCTTCTGGTCTGGATGGCTTGTGCTGCTGTTCAGCACTGATACTTGCCCAGGCTGCTCTACAGCAGCAAGAGGTCCTGCGGCCCCTGGGGCCTCTTCTCCGCCTGGGGAGCAGGCGCTTGCTTGTGCTTGGCTCCTTGTTGCTTTGTATTTTGTTGGTTCTTTTGGGATTCTCTTTATTTTCTCATAAGGAGAAATACAGCTTGGAAAACAACACTTGATAGCCAGTTTACCCTCCCTAGGGGAGAGGAAGATTTGTGAGGAGCAGAGTATCTTCTAATGCAAATATTCCACGGGGTTTGTCATGGCGTGGAGAAAGGGAGGTCTCTGTGTCTGAATGCAGTCCTGCTCTTTAACTCAGACGCAGGAACACAAAACAGAACAAGTGAAAGACCACACAACAACCCTACATTTGCAGCTCAGCTTTGTATCTGGCCTCACTGAAGCAGTGCAAGTGCTGGTGTTAGCTACTGCTCAGAGGACATGAGAAGACCCCTGGTAGCAAGACAAGGACACCACACGTTAGGCTGAGTCCATACACGCAGTTTGCCATCACAGCCTGTAATTTGTGTGCATTCCTTTCCCTTGATTTCCAGCACAAATATAAATGTGAATAATACAGTATGCAGTTGGCATTTCAAAATTTCCAGGGAGAGAAAGGATCTTGATAACAGGCTTTTCTTGTTCTTTAAAAAAAAAACAACAGTGCTGCATTATACAGGCTCAAGCCTTGTAAATATACCACTGTATCAAAAATGTTTTAAAGCTTTCAGTAGAGTGATGTGCCTCAAGGGTAAAAAAATGCCAGAGGAAGCCAAAGTGAGGTGGGACTCCTATTAACACCACAAAAAAATGCATCCAGAGAAGCTGTGTATGGAATCATCACCTACCCAGATAAAGATAATCTATACTGGCAACTTAATATGAAGACAGCTAGTACAGCACTAAGTATGCAGACCTTGCTGGAATCAGGCAGACGACATCTTTTAAAATATGTGAGTTGGTTCTCCATAACAACGTGATTTCAAAGTAGATTTGTTTCTTGTTGGGGAGTGAGCCTGCCTTCCTTAAAAGTACTCTGCCTGATTGATTGAAGATACCTACTTGGTCCAACTGTAATTAATTGTAATTGATTGACACTGATTTCCCAGAGGACAGAATCACTTTTATCAGAAAGTTAGCTGCTGTGTTCCTGCCTAACAGAACTCCCAAACAAGAACTTCCCACACAGCATGTTGCTCAGGAGAATCTTGCAATGGATATCAAATGCTGTAGTTTGAACTGTGACACAATCTTTGCCAAATGAAACAACATCTTATACTCAAGCAGCTGCACATAGAACCAAGACGACAAACCCCCAAATGATGCCAGAGTTTTTAATTCTGTGTGTCATTGCAACACTGCTTCATAATTTGCTTGGAAGGAGGGAGGCCAAGGGGTGCCTCTGAGCAGCACATACCTGCACGATTTCCAGCATCTCTGACTTACTGATGTAGCCGTTCCCATCAAGGTCGTACATGCTGAATGCCCACTTCAGCTTTTGCTCCAGTTTACCTCTCGACGTTACGCTCAAGGCTATGATGAATTCTCTGAAATCTATTGTTCCATCTCCGTTGGCGTCAAAAGTGCGGAATACATGTTCCGCAAACTTAGAAGCGTCCCCATAAGGGAAAAAGTTCCCATATATTTTTTTAAACTCCTCCATAGATAAATGTCCGCTTGGACAGTCTCTCAAGAAGCCTTTGTACCACTCCTGGATTTCATGTTCTGTAAAGTCTGTACTTTCTAGCAGATCTTGCATGACTTCAGGGCGTAGTTTACTGTTTTGCTTTCCCATATTGGTGTCAAAATATTAACTGCAGAGGAAAAACAAACACAGAATTATTATTGTTGTTGTTGTTGTTATTACAGAATCACAGAATGGTAGGGGTTGGAAGGGACCTCGGTGGGTCATCTAGTCCAACCCTCCTGCCGAAGCAGGGTCACCTACAGTAGGCTGTAGAGGACCTTGTCCAGGCGGGTCCTGAATATCTCCAGAGAAGGAG